TCTTCTAAATCTACAGTTAACAAGAAAATCTAAACAGAACAGCTGATTCAAAGATTGATGTTTAACTGTATTTTATGTAATCATAGCATGTTAGAGCTAAAGGGGACCTTAGGGATCACCTCATCCATTTTCCAGACAAAGGAGCATATTCAAATTGTAGAAAGGTAAGAAGATCAAACCTTTAGAAATAGAATTCCCTAATGAGTCCATGGCAGCAAAACAAAATAACAGCTCAGTTTTTATAAATCCCTTCTAAGACATTAAGACACGGACAGCCGTTTCAAGTAGAAATTCAGCCCAAACCAAGCCAAGCCCTTCCCTTCCCCAGCCTCCAAGGATGAAAACTTAGGTGCATAAAGGGCCCTAGCTCTTTCAGCCTTGGTTGTCATTACCCTGCTTTGCCCACACCCCCTCCTCCCTGACAGATTTCAACCTAAAGAAGTGATTGGTCACTTTACATCATGGCAGGAGTTCAGGAGTCAGGTTCGGGGCATTCTGCATCCCAATTCCAGCCATCCACCTCACCACTGCATGCGTTGCCCTCAAAGGCAGTGCTGGCTGGTGCTATCAGCAAGGCTAGTCACATAAATCAGGGAAGCTCTGCCAATATACGCAAGGCATGTCACCATCACCCACTAGCAGTGACAACTCTAATTGTGAGCAGACTGTGCCACAGCCAGAGAGGCTGATGCAATCCCCGGGACCCACCTCTGCGCTTTCAGATCCCAGCTCTTAGCTGACAGGATGCCAGCTTAGCCAGTTGGTCCTGATAGCCCTTGTGCTTTGCCAGGTGAGCCAGCAGAAGCCCTCAAGGCCAAAGAGGCAGAACATCTGATGAGGAGGCTGGAGTCAGGTGAGCCATCATAGCCACTAAGAGCAGACGAGCCACTCAGGCTCATTTTTCTCCTCTGCCAAATGATGGAGTTGGACTGGACAAGGGCTGCATTTCTTTCTAGGCTTCTCTGGAATTGAAGATTATCTCAGTTCTTGTGTTGGAAGTTTTGTTTATCTTAAATAAGGAAGCTGAATGCTGGTAGTAAGGATTTTCCATTTGCAAGAGGTAAGTAACTTTATTTTTAATTATAAAGGTAATTTATGCTTGATATAAAAAAGTTACAGCAATGCAGAAGTGTAAAAAGTGTATAACTCCCACAACCAGTGGTAAGTCATCAGCCAGGCTAATTGCTTTCCCCATCCCCTGAACAGGCTACTGGTGCTCCCATTAGCCATCTATTTTGAAGGAGCAGTTAAGATTCTGAAAGTCAATCTTTGCTTATTTTAGTGGTTCTAACAATTGGTGAAACTGAAGAGTGACATTTGTAGAAGTTTTTTTTTTTCCTTCCAAAAAGTCCAGATTCAGATCTTATAGCCCAACTTATAAATCCACATGAAGAAGTTAAATTTCAGTACTTAAAAGAAAGATCATACTATTATTAGAGTAATACAAAAATTGCAAGAGGCAAAAGAATAAAATACATTAAAATGTTAATAGCAGTCTAAGGTGACAGGACTTCGGGGGACCTTTTTTCAGCTTTTCTTCGTAGAGTGGGGCATTGCATTTTTATTAATTGTGTAGTGAAGAAAATAATTTTAAGAAAAGTGTTCCTGATAATGACATACTAGATGATTGGATTCAAACCAAACAGCCCAATAACTTACACTTATTAAATCTTTATTGACTAAACAGCTTTTAAAAATTTACTGCTACTTCCTTTTAGGCTATTTTTTTGTTAGGAATTCTACTTAGAGGATTAAAGATAAATGAATAATTATATTAATCATTTGAGAAGACTTGTGAAAATCTTAAAGACATTGAGTTCAGTGCCTCAAATACTTATTGAGCAGCTGTTACAGGCAAGTCACTGTGGGAGTAGAAGGATGAGTGAACTCCATCCTTACTCCCAAGGGCTCAGGCAAGGGAGGTAAGACAGGAACCCACAGAGCCACACGCTAGATGGCCTTTCTAAGGGTTCTGAGATACAAAATGCTGAGAGTCCAGAGAAGTAAAGAATCATCTCTGAATGATGAGGAATCCAGGAAAGCTTCATGTAGGCAGTCGAATTTGAGCTAGGTCTTAGAAAATGGGCGGGATTTTTCATACTTAGAAATTGAAGGGGCTTTTTTAGGTGGAGGAAAGGCAAACTGAGGCACAGAGGTGCCAAGACCAGGGCATGTCAGAAGAACGAGGAGTTCTGTTTGGCCAAAGCATACAGCATGTGTAGGGGAAGGGACAGATAAGACTGGCACGGGGGTAGAGGAGACTTGAATGTCAAGCCACAAAGCTAGAGCTTGTAGATGTTGGGTGATCTTGGGGGTCCTTTGAGCAGAAAATGTGATACAATCAATGTCAGCTTAGGACAGTTCCTTTGGCCAAGTAGGGAACAGTGTGGGAAGACAAGGATGGGAAGATGAATCCCAGATGAATGATAAATGGGGCCTGAGCTGAGCAGGTGGCATCAGAAGGAAGACAACTGTGATACTTTGTAGAAATAGACTCAATAGATCAGGGGCCTAGGATTCAGTGAGACTGGTGCTCAAATCCCACTCTGCCGCTTCATTACTTAGTTCCCCTGAGCCTGTCTCTTCTCTACAAAATGGGTGTAAGAGTAATTATATCATGGGGTTGCTGCATAGTAGGCAGAGGCAGTTATTCTTGTGAAGCATTTTAGCACAGCTCTGGCATGGTGAGTGCTCAGTACATGTTAATGTCACTGATGGTACTACCTGGAGTTGGAGTTACAAAGGAAACAGGTGTCAGCTCCGGTGACTGAGTAACAAGGCCAACAGTACAGCAGCTGGGAGCATGGCATCTGCAGGTAGAGACTGGATTTGGAACCCGACTCAACTACTTACCAGCTGTAATCTCGTACAAGCCACTTAACCCCTCTCTCAGTTTCCTTAGCTGTAAAATGGGCATAGTATTAATACCCGCTCCCCAAGGAGCTGCTGTGGAAATAAAGTGAGATAATACATGTAAATGTACCCGATACATTTTAAGAGCCCAGTAGTTATTAGTTATTGGGTCAGGGGTGGAGACGCAGAGTTGAATAGAATTACCCCTACTATCTCCTGTGGCAAGATATGCAAGTAGAGGTGGAGACATGCTGCAGGGGACTGGCCATTGAAGGACAGACCCGGAAGAACACTCAAGGCTGGAGGTAGTCAGGAGTCGCTGGCACAGAGGTGATTATTGTACCTCTATGGGTAGATGAACCAAGATTGGGTACATAAGTTGGCCTAAGGAAACAGTCAGATAAATCCAGAATACAGGACGTCTATAAGACATACATAAGATGGCCGGGACTTTTTAAAAAGTAAATGTCATGGAAAAAAAAATAGTAAGGGGGCTGTTCTAGACTGAAAGAGACTAGAGTTATAATCAAAAGTAATGTGTGAATCTTAACTGGGCCCTGTTTTTTAGAAAAGAGAAAAAGACACTCTTGGGACAGTTAGGGAATTTCAATTAAGGACTCTATCTTAGAGGCTATTGGGATAAACATGCTGAAATACTTTAGAGGTGAAATGCCATGCATGTTTGTGGTGGAGGGAAGAAAAATAAATATGCCAAAAATGTTAACAACTGTTTAGGTGGAGGGTATATGTGGGTATTCATTGTACTAGCTTTTCAACGTTTTCTGGATGCTTGAGCATTTTCAAATTCTCAGAAAAATGAGGAAAAAAGAGACCTGAAGAAAAACTGTTTGGAAATCAGTCTACATCAGGAAAAGGAATTCTCTGGAGGAAAAGCAAGTTCCATCTACCAAAGGAAAAATTTCAAGAAGGGAGAGATTAAGCAAAATGAAGGCTGAAAATAAATCATCATATTCAGCCATTGTGAGACTACGGGCTTCTTAAAGAGTCCAGTGTAGCATGAAAAGCTGACCACGAGTGAAGGAGTAAGGAATGGGGAGGAAATATAAGCAGCAAGGACTGCTCGACAGTCCTTGCTTAGGGGGTGCTCAGTTGGGAGCATCCAGGCTGGGGTAGTCTTTCTTTTCAGTCCAAGGAAGACTGGGGCATTGCTGAAGAGGAAGACTCTGAAGAAAGGGAGGGAATGAGACAGAGGAAAAGAGGTAACGTTGTGGAGGAAGGGCCCAGGAAAGGTGGAAGAGGAATGGATGAAAACATGAGAGGAGGAGGTGGCCTCAGATTGGGAGGGTGCCTTCCCCTTGGCCCAGGAGTGAGGACTGTGGAGATGTGGGGGCAGAACCTCCCTTCCTAATAACAAGGAGGGATGGGGTCATGTCTTGCTAGTAAGGCGGCAGGTGTGAGGCAGTTAAGTGGGGAAACAGCACAGCTGCCACTGGCTCTGAAACGGGAAAAAAGAGGGCGGAGGTAAGATAGGGTGCTTGGTACTGCCAGGCAAGCTGGGGAGGGGAGCAAAAAGAGGGCTTCTCCAGGACTGCCTTCCTAAGGCACCAGAAATGATAGGGTAATGAGCAGTCTTGGAAACTTCCGTTCAGAAATTGGTGCTGGGCTAAGACTACACATCAATGATTTACTCGTTAGGAAATTAGGAAACCTCTTTTTTGGGTAAACGTGCTTTATCATTTCCATGCACCCTCTACCCTGGGTTGCCCTGGCTGGTGTACAGGCACCTGGTGTGATAGTCTTTGGTGTGTAAGGGAGCTCCTGTCGTTTCAAAGTCACCAGGCACAATATGGCCATGGCTCCAGGTGATCTAGGTTCACAGGGCTGTTGGAGCTCTCATTCCAAAGGCAGTCAGGAAAACCACCCCCTGCACGGATGCCACTAAACGCCACCAGCATTGGAGGCCGCTGGAGCTTGCGCTCCCAGGCACCCCGGAGGACCACGGAGTGATCTTTGGTTCTGCCTGGCCTCCGAAGTGCTTCTCAAGACCCCACCTTTGGCGATTTCGGTTCGGCAGAGCGGCAACGGGCGTGAGATCTCGCTCCCAGGCGACGCTGAAGACGCCGGTCCGCGGGCCACACTTTTTGAGTAGGGCTGGCCGGGGGTGGGTGGGTGGGAGCGGCTAAAACCTACAGGAAGACCTTCGTGATGACGTAGCCGTCCCTGGGGTCCCCCTCGGGCTCCTCTTTGAGCGGAGCGTGCAGCAGGGCCGAGCCCAAGGCCAAGGCGCCCTCCCGGCGGCTCACTTCCCGCAGCCGCGCCTGCAGCGCCTCCCTCTCGGCCTGCAGCTCCCGGCGCGCCTGGGCCGCCGCGCGCTCCTCCTCCTGCAGCGCCCGCCGTCTGCGCTCCAGGGCGCGCTCGCCCTGCTCCACGGCCGCCTCGCGCCGCGCCAGCTCGCGCTCCCGCAGGCTGCCACGCACGGCCAGCGCGCCCATCTGCTCCAGCAGGCGCGCCCAGTCGCCCTCGGCGGCCGCGGCGGGGCCGGGGGCAGCGGGCGGCGAGCGGCGGGCGGTGCTCTCCGCCAGCTCCCGCCGGTGCGCACTCCTCAAGTGCTTCCACAGCACAGCGGTGCCCGCGTGCCAGCCCGGGCCGCGGCCCACCTGCTCCCCGCACAGCCGGCAGGTGGCCCAGGGGCCCGACGCGTGGCCGGGGCGCGCCGGCGCCAGGTGGAAGTACCCCCAGGCCTCGGAGTACGGCGCCCCCAGGCGGCCTGCAGCCGCGTCCGGCCCGCCCGTCTCTTCCATGGTCAAGGCCGGCTCGTCGCTCCTCATTCTCTAGGCAGCGCCTGCACCGAGGGACACAGGGTAAGACGACCACAAAATTACATGTGCACACGGACACACGCTCCAACACACAACTTCTAGGACGAGAGTTAGCCTGTCAAGAAACCATGCCTCCCTCTCACTACTGATTAAAATCCTGCGGTTAGTTTGGGTAGATGCTTGCGTTTCTTTTTCAGTAGGTATTAACCGTTGATTCCTCGGGGTGTGGGGGGGGGAAGGTAGAAAATGCCTAGCCCTTCTTTCCTTAACCAGGAATTTTCTTCGAAATTTATTGGATTCCCTGGCTCACAAATGCTAAGACTAAAATTGGGAAGCCAAGCTTCCCGTAAGAATAAGCTAAATAAGTGCTGTATGTATATGTTAGTTTTAACTAGTCTCCTTTACGCTCTTTAAAAAAAAAAAAACGAACAAGGCTCCCTTTTGAATTCTTCTCGCAGTGTCGCACAAGAAAGGAGTGGGGAAAAAAAGTTTCAGGAACGAAAATTTTGTTTCTTAGACTTTAAGGGTGACAGTGCTAGGACTGAGCAGCTTTTCAAAAAGCTTTCAAGGAGACAACTTTTTTCAAGGTAAAAGTATCTTTGTTTTTGTGATTTTAAAAACGATGTGCTTATGAGAAACATGGACTGCTAAGAATCATTAAAATGTTTTTAAAATACGCACATTTAGAAAACAGCAATATACAAAGCAGTTTTCTAAACTTTTACCTTCAAATCAGGCGGTGGGCTGTCTCTATCATTGCCTCAGGGTTTCTAGCCAGCCCAGGTTCTCAGGTGGAAACACAGCAGTGTGGCTTCTGAGTTCTCAAGAACCATCAGCAGTGCTAGGAGTAAATTCAGAGGACAGGCGGTGGAGTAAAAGAAATTCAATTAAACAGCCCTGAAAGTAGATACTAAAAATCCTGGATGGTGCCATGTCCCTCTGGTGTTCATTCTGCCAACCCTCTCATAGGTGCTCCAGTCATAAAACAAATAAAATTAGTTTTCTATATTGCTTATCCCAACTAAATGGCCCGCATTCTGTATTTGCAAGACAAAAAGCTTGGTGGATTCTCTTAATTAAGGAAGAGAAATAGAAGTAATAGCTGTTTGCTTTGTCCAACAAATACCTGTAGTTAAAGGGATCCAAATACAACACAGTGACTATCACTGCCAGATCTTTTCTATTAAGAAAACATTTCCCACTGTTATAACCTATCAAATGAAGGGGGAGATAGAAAAGGTGTATTTTTTTCTTCTTTAAAAAATAACTTCACTGGGCTTCCCTGGTGGCGCAGTGGTTGGGAGTCCGCCTGCCGATGCAGGGGACACGGGTTCGTGCCCCGGTCCGGGAAGATCCCACATGCCGTGGAGTGGCTGGGCCCGTGAGCCATGGCCGCTGAGCCTGCGCGTCCGGAGCCTGTGCTCCACAACGGGAGGGGCCACAACAGTGAAAGGCCCGCGTACCGCAAAAAACAAAACAAAACAAAACTTCACAAAGGGTCAAATGTGTGATTCTAGACAAATTTGCTTTGAAAGTTTAAAAATAATAATAGAATATATGACAGACTTGGAGCTCTTCTGAGAACTTATTTCATCGGGAAAATTCAGGCCGAGGTGGGAGAATAATGGACAATGAGATAGCCAGTGCCTGCTCCTACTGTCAGGTTTTGAACCAGCAGCAGTGGAGATGATGAAGTTCCAGAATCTCTTTTATTAAAGGCAACTAGGGATGACTGAAGACAAAGATGAAAACAGGAAAAATATGTTGCTTTAATAATAGTATTTAGTGAACCTTTTAATTCAGTTGCTAATAGTCTTGTTACAGATGCGTTACACTTTTCTAAACCTCATTTGTTTTTTTCCCACCAAGCAAGTCCACTGAGATCAGGCAGGACATTTAACATATCTCTTGAATTAAAAAAAAAAAAAAAAGAATGAATTTACCAGAATCATCCAAAAAAATAATAAGTACCAGGCCTCTTCTAACAAAAGAAATAGCTATTTACATATCTTCTGATATGAGGCATTGGTTTGAATATGGTTACCCATGATAATTAGTATAAAAGGACATTAGAAATTAAAGGCTAGATTTCCCCCAAGAGATTTGCTAAATCACTAAAGTCCCCAAAGCCGGAGTGGTGGGATGAGGAGGGGAGTTAGAGACCCCCTTCAAGGATAACTTTTTTGCGGTTAGTAAACATTGTGTTTAGTAAACAGAGCCAGATTTTAGTCTTAGAGATGTTTTTTGTTATCCAGCTTTAGTTAAAATTTTTTTCTACATTTCTTTTTTCTTTTTTTAGAATTCTATTCCTTCTAAATTAGAATCTTACCTTTCCAGAGTGTGCCCTTTTTTTAAATTACTAGACATACATAAAAGTGGAGAGAATAGTAGTATTATGAGTGCCTATATTTACTTTATAAATTAAAAGAGATTTAATTTCTTCAAAATCTGGGATGCCCAGAGGAGTGCCACATACAGGAGTGGCATCTGTTCTAAGACTTAAGGTGGAAAACAGGGATGAGAAGCACTGATCACTGATTTTGATGTCTTAATCCTTTAGACTTAGTGGAGCCCTCATCTGAGCCAGGGACAAGCAGCACCACAAGTGTTGGCCAGCAGAGTGCTGCCCCTCTGAGGGCGGCAGAGGGACCTCCTATGCCCTGGCAAGCCTTCACTCTCGGAGGTCTTAACCAGTGGAAGACAGCATGGTTCAGAACTGCCTCACTTTCTCAGCCCTCCGACCACAGCTACATTCTGGCTCAAAAGAGTCTTCTGTTCAGACTCAGTCTCTAAAGAGTGACCAGCAGTAACTGTGGCCACAAGTCGTTCCTAGCAGAGCCTTCCTAGGTCTGCTAAGCAATCCCTGAGCTCATTTCAACCATCCCTACAGTGCAGAGGGAGAGAAGCTTGGCTTGGGAGAGAAGTCTTAGAATCTTCAGCCACGACCCTAATATACAAAGAGCTCTTACAAACTGAGAAGAAAAAGACAAACAAGCCAATTGAAAAATGGGCAAGAAATATGAGTAGGCAAATGACCCAAGAGCAAAATCAGATGGCCAGGAAATTTGTGAAAAGATGCACACCACTTATATCCAGGGAAGTGCTATTAAAGTAACAATAAGGTCTCATGTTAGATCCATCACACTAACAAAAATGAAGAGGTCTGTCAGCCAGAGTTGGAAGGGGGGCAGAGAAAAGGGTATGCTCATGCATTCCTAGTGGAGATGTGAAGGCTTTTAGGAAAAGCAATCTGCAATTTCTATTAATTAAAAATAGATATAATTGGGGATCCAACTCCTGGGAATCTGTTCTGTAGAAGTAAAAGTACCAATATGTAAAGTAGCATGTATTAGGATGTTTATCATAGTACTATTTAGAATGGCAAAAAACTGGAATCCAGAGAATGCCTACCAGCAGGAAAATGGCTGGGTAAATAATGTGTAGTCACCTCAGGGAATATTATGCTGCCATTAAAAAGGATGGATTGGAGCTCTGTCAGGGGGATTTCTGGAGGAACTGTTTAGGGAGAAAAGCAAGATGCATAAAAGTGTGTATAATATGATCTCACTCTTATTAAATAATAAGTAGATCTGTATAGGATATACAGATTAATGATTTTTTATATATATGAAGAAAAATAAGGAGATACACTATGGGTTGAGGGGGTGGCAGCTGATGTGAAAGGAGAAGGGGAAGAGGTAAAGACAAAAGGAAAAGAAAAGGTGCTGAGAAAGCGTGTACATGATCATGTGTATACATTTAGGTAGAGTATATATATGGCAGGGTCTATACATAAATAAAAAGTAATTTTATAAAACAATCCTCAAGCATGTGAGCTCAGGCAGGCCTAGGCAGCCTTAACTCTGGAGACTGGAGGGAACAGTCCCATGGGGCATAGTGCGCTGCCATCTGGCCCTGGAGGGATCCCAGTGTGTAAGCTTGCTCAGTGTGGGTGGTTCACTGTGCCCTGCCTGAGCAGGAGATTCTATATCGACGTAAGATGGAGGGTGCCATGGGAGGGCAGCGCACCTCACTCATCTCCCCGGCATAGGGCCTGCATAGGGCAGGCACTCAGGGGACACTGCATTAAATGAAATGAGCCCAACTTTACCTTTCTTAGCCCCAGCTCACCGGAGTTTCTATCTCCCCATCTGTCAGGAGAAATGATAAGATTAGCTGCCCCTAATAAATAGGTGGCTGAAATCAGATAACGCACGAGATGTCACTGTTGGACTCGCCAGGGCTATACCAATTCAAAGCATGAACAAAAGGAAGCTCCCAGTATTTACTATTCAAACATGCCTACATGAAGATCTTAGTGGCTAAAAGGGAGTGCTGTTTTTCTCTTTAACATATTCTGTTATTCAATAGAGGAAGTAATTTAAGTTGGAAGAATTCTCTTGGGGATTTTTAAATACAAAAAAGCAAATTAAAAAGAATCATAGATCTACTTCCCCACCCCCAACCAAATTTATTTTCACTTCCTCAATTGATCTTCCTGCAAAATAGGTGGCTCATCACTCAGGTAGAAGATGAGAGGAAGGCCTAGTTAGCTGGAGTCCTGTGATATGCATTTCTTCCTTACCAAGTACTGCCCCCAAACCAAACACCTATTAACTTGTATGGTTAGCTAACAAGAAGAAAACAAAAAGTAAAAGCTCTCTTAATTTTCCTTAAAACAATTGAAAAACTACCAGAAAGTTGCCAGTGAATGATTATTTCGTTTATGTCCGTTCACTTCATCCACTCTTTCATTCAAACTCTCCTTGTGTACCTGATCAGGGCCAGGCACGTGCTTGCTGCCCAGGATGCCAAGAGGAGCACCACATAGTCCCTGTCCTCTGGAAGCCTACCATCTGGTGGGGAGAGATGCTTCAAGATGCTGACACCCATGGTAAAGATCAGAGCAATGTTCACTCATGAAGAGTGGGGAAGCGTGGGCTTGGGGACCCTAACACAAAGGTTCATGCAGATACGCGTGCTTAAGCATTCTTTCCCTTCCCCACCTT